GTACTCATTGGATAGCGTACGCGAAGAGAGAAGATCGAGTCGTATATTTCGACAGTTTCGGCAATCTTCGACCGCCGAAAGAATTGGTGCGATATTTCGGGCCGAGCGTGACGAAGATCGAGTACAATTGCACGTCTTATCAGCGATACGATCAGAACATCTGTGGACAATTGTGCCTGCGATTTCTCCGGACAATCGACGCTAATTTAAAGCCTGACGGTGCGCCGTGGTGACTCAGTATTCGTTTACGGTTTTCGCCGACATGTCTATAACGTTCACGCTGACGGGGAAGAGCAGCATCCTCGCGGAGCACTATTTTCCCGCCGTGGATCTGAGCGACGGTGACTACGAGCTCGGTCTAACGTGTTTTGAGACTTATCACACGATTCCGAACGTGAATTCTTCAAATAATAAATTTTATTTCGACGAGGATGACACGGAAATTACGATTCCCGAGGGATCGTACGAGATACGAGCCGTACATGAGTTTTTGAAACGCGAAATTTCACGAAAACGCCCGCGACGCGTAAATCGTTCCAACGATGATCGTACGTCGGTCGCGAATATCGCGCGAGAGGCCACCGCTCGCGCGAACGGCTACGAAGACGAGGTCGCGGAATACCCGATAGTGCTCCGCGCAAATTACAATACGATGAAGAGCGAGATCAAGTGCGCTTTCAGAGTGAACTTTAACAAACCGAACAACGTTGGATCGCTGCTGGGATTCTCGTCGAAGCGTATATTGCAGCCGAGACAGTGGCACGAATCGGACGTGTCGATTAATATTATCAACGTAAACATTATCCGCGTGGAGTGCAACGTGACCGCGGGTGCGTACAGCAACGGCAAACGTGTTCACACGATACATGAATTTTCACCGAGCATACCACCGGGATATAAGATATCGGAAACGCCGGCGCAGATCATTTACCTGCCTTTCATCGCGCGAAGCGTTACGGATTTAACGATACGCGTCACGGATCAAGACGGACGATTGCTCGATTTTCGAGGAGAAGAGATCACCGTCAGATTGCACGTACGACGACTACAGCGATAACGCGCGACGTGTGACATGCTCGTGTTGAACGACTCGGAGCGTGCGACAGATAAGAATATCTTTACGACTGCGACGATCGACGATATCATCAAATCGACATTCGGTAGCGTTAAAACAGAGACGAAAACAGAGACGAGAAAAAAGCTCAACGCATCGAACGTTAAATTTTTACAATCTCTGGGATTCGCGGTACGAAACATCTGAACGATGACTGAAATTCTTAACATCGGAGGCGAGCCGGTCTTTGACGATCGCATCGTCAAGATCGAGACTCACACGTACAACCCGTACGCCAACACAACGTTCGAGTATAGCGACGAGATACGAATACCTATACAACAGCAGGATCTGTATACGTTGCCGTGCGAAAGTTTTCTCTACGT